AGAGGTCGCCAAAAAATTTTGGAGTGAAAAAAAAATTTTCAGTAAAGGTGCCCTTGGTGTGCGTCCGCCCCCCTTTGCCCTATTATCGTTCCGGCGTCCATAATTTATGCACATCTTCTCGCACTTAGTTTCCCATTATTACATTGCGTCACCCCTCTTTTCCAAAATTATCATGATAGGGGTAGTGTCCGTTGGGTAGTATTTTGCACTTTGTAGATGCCCAAGGTTACCCCACTTTTTGGCCAAAGTTGTGTTTATATGGGCTCTGTGTATACCCCAAGTCTTTGTCCTTGTTATTTTTGAATGCACAGTACCATAAAACTGATTTTAAATTTAGCACATTTTCCTATATTGCGTGCGTTTTTGTGTAAAATCACGAAATGTGCCTCAAAGTACCATCCGCAAGGATACATTTGCTATTTGCGACGCAGTGATGTTGTTAAACCAGAAATCTCTAAACTTTTAAAATAAAGTTTATCTTCATGGCTTCAATCGATGGTGTCGAAACCGATCAGAAATTGCGCGTACTCGCCGTGTAAATATGGGTTTTGATTTGTACTTTTGACTGATTTGCCACCTTGAATTGTCTTCTTCATATCTCAATTACGTTCGAAATGTTTGGTATTTTAAAGAAGGGGTATTGTGTGAAGGAGGTTTATAATACAGCGATTAAACCAGCGTGGGATAATTATGGTAAAAGATCAGAAATTGTGCATCGAACTCGTCTATTTAAATGCTTTAAGTATACCTTTTCTTCAGACATTGACGGTGTCTCAAATGTCTACATATTTGTAATAACGGTGGACTTGACTGACTTAGATTCTTGCACTTCACTTGGTGGAATTAATATTAGGATTAGGATGTTAGGGTTTGTAATCCAAGAGAGAATATATACATTTTAAGACCTAACCGTTACGGGCTAACCAGGAACGACTGCGAAAAATGCAGCACAAGGTCCTCTGGTAGGAATTGAACCTACGGCCCTGCGATTCCGGAGCAGCGCACCCGATTACCTATATATATACATGAATTTACGGTTACAGCTCAACAGCTGGCCTCTGTATCTCAGTTGGTTTGCGCATATATATTTAGTCGAAACGTCGAAATAAGTTTTCAAAATGCTTTCAATTTTCGGAGTATCTATTGTTTTGTATTTTATCAAAATACTCAGTGGTTCCCGTAATATAAATTGTACATAAGTAATACTTTATAAAGCAATAGTTTGAGCTTACTTTCTGATGGGTGATATACGCGTCGCCATATTTGTTTGATTAGAACCCCCCTACCCCCGCAACGCCCGCATCACGGATGATCCCAAGAGATGTATTTGCCGTTTCCACACCCTCTCCCTTTGCACTGGTATATCAGAAGATCGAATTCTATTCAGTTCATACTGCGAGATAAAATTTTCAGCAAAAGCCATGGCACGAGAGAAAGTGTTGAGCAACCGGCAGTGGCGTAACTTTGTGCTAAAGGGCCCCCTGAGCCTTTAACTGGAATAGGCCCCTAGCTGGTCCTGCCATTAAAATAACAACGGGTGGAGGAAACGTCAAAACGATGCAAACTTTGCTAATTTACATCAACTTCCCCACTTTATCATTCTTGTTCAGGGGCGTCCTAATTGATTTGGGCCCTAATTGACTTGAGCGAGGCGGCGCCCAAAAAGGAGTTACGCCATAGGCAAACTACCTCGCGACTCGCGAAGTCATGATCTCAGCCAAGAGCTCTCGTGCCGTCGGCTGGCTTTATACAGGGTGTATAAAAAAAACACGCAACCTCGGAATTTACTAAGAAATCACTTTGCAATTCTTAAGCATAAAAGATTTTAGGCCCCTGGGAATTGAAATCGAATTGCTAATACAGGGAGTATCAAAAAAAAGGAGCCCTTTAGAAATCAAGCATATTTTTAAAATTTGAATGCCTTTTCAATTGCACATATGCTGAATCGTAGTGCGTGAAATAATCAATATTAGAAAATGGGTGCATATATTAGAAAAAGAAGACCTTTAGAAATCAACCATTGTTATAATTTGACTCCTGGAGCACTTTGCTAAGCCCACGAGTGCGTAACATGCGATCTACGTACAGTATGCATGGCAGATTGTTCCCAGGAGCAGACAATCTTTCGTTTAAACGTTATTTCAATTTCTAAAGGTCTCCTTTTTCTAATGTATGCACTCATCAATATTTCACACGGTACGGTTCAGCATATGTGCAATTGAAAAGGCATTTAAATTTTAACAATATGCTTGATTTCTAAAGGTCTCCTTTTTTTATACACCCTGTAGATCATATTACTGTTATTGTGCATTAAATAAATGCATAAATTTTGCTTTATGCACTCGCGTGTGCAGTAATTTTGACAGTTGTGCTATTTTAAATTCCCAGGCGGCTAAAATCTTTTGTCTTTAAAACAATGTCGATTTCTTGGGAAATTCCGAGGTGGCGAGGTGGCGTTTTTTTATACACCCTGTAGAACACTTGCGTGCTGTTGACCTTAATTAAAATTAACTCATGCCTGACATCTGGAGGCATCAGTTGCTTTCATTATATGCATATTATATGCATCTTTTGCCACGGGCCGAGTAAATACTTGCAAAAGGTCTATTGCATGCGACTGTCCTGAGTGACTAAATGTCGGTCTGCTAAAAGAAGACTAATAACTGTTGTTGCGCGGTCGGGCTTGGACAACCCAATCGGTTTCAATTGAGACTGATCAACATTGTGTGACCCTGTTAATTAATTTAAATATTTGTACTTGCTCTGATCACTATAGTAACCACTTCAAAAATTCCTTACTGATGTATTGACTGCATTCATGGCGAAAGGCATTCAACTGTAAAGTGTTGGTGCAAGGCTATGGCAAAATTCGACATTAAATCAGTCGCTCTTCAGTGGTATTTCTTCACGACGGCTAGTGTCTCGGTTTATGAAGAATTTTCTCATGTATTCATGAAACAGTTTGGATTAAATTCACAGCAAATCGGGATTACAAATCTTTGTGGCGTTCAGCATATATTTATACCACTATTGTTGTATGTGGGGGACAGATATCGCGTGAGGAATCTAGTTATTTGGATCGTGTCGCTACTTTTGGCTATAAGTTCTCTACTTCTACTTTTGCCTATTGTTGTGTCGCTACCTACGTGCTTTGGAACGACGTCTGGATCAGATAATTCATGTAAGACTATATAAGTGTGCGACAATGTCTGTTGATTCAAACGATTCGGTGCATTCCCCGGAATCATGTGTATTAGCGTACTTTAATTGGTGTGTCAAAATGCGCTGACTTTTTTCTAGGTGGTTTGTTGGGGTCAGTCCCTTTTTATGTTCATCCATTCCAATATGAACCTAAGTTATGTCGAGCCATTGCAAGTGAATTTAACAAAGTGGCGTAAACACTTGAAATTGACAAAATGGAGTTTGGTATATTTCAACTGTCAATTCGACATCGAACTTTGAAAGGTTCAAAACCTATCTGTCTCATGTTTGCTCACTCCATAATTTTGTCTACGCAAAGGTTTTCATCATAACTTCATAACAAATTAATTATAACTTAGGTTTTGGAAATCATTGCTTTTTTATCAGGAAGCAGTGCGCGCTAACACTCGCTTACAACATTTCGACGGCCATTAATTTTTGAACACCAAATTAAACTGCAGAGTACAAAATAAAATAACACCCGAAATAAAGTTTTTCGTTATTTAAATCTTATCTTTAAGTTTCTTATAATATCTAAAAGTAACAAAAACATATAAATTGTACACAAGTAATATTTTGTAAAGCAATAGTTTGAGCTTACCTTCTGATGAGTCATATACTCGTCGCCACGGGCCGAGTAAATACTTGCAAAAGGTCTATGCGACCGTCCTGAGTGACTAAATATCGGTCTGCTACAAGAAGACTAATAACTGTTGTTGCGCGGTCGGGCTTGAACAACCCAATCGGTTTCAAATGAGAGATCATCCTTGTGTTACCCTGTTAATTAATTTGAATATTTGTACTTGCTCTGATCGTTATAGTATAACCACTTCAAAAATTCCTTATGTGCATTCATGGCGAAAGGCATTCAACTGTAAAGTGTTGGTGCAAGGCTATGGCAAAATTCGACATTAAATCAGTCGCTCTTAAGTGGTATTTCTTCACGACGGCTAGTGTCTCGGTTTCTGAAGAATTTTCTCATGTATTCATGAAACAATTTGGATTAGATTCACAGCAAATCGGGATTACAAATCTTTGTGGCATTCAGGATATATTTATACCGCTATTGTTATATGTGGACGACAGATGTCGCGTGAGGAATCTAGTTATTTGGATCGTGTCGCTACTTTGGCTATAAGTTCTCTACTTCTACTTCTGCCTATTGTTGTGTCGCTACCTACGTGCTTTGGAACGACAGTCATCTAGATCAAATAATTCATGTAAGACTATATATTAAAGTGTGCGATATGCATGATGTCTGTTGATTGAAACGATTCGGTGCATTCCCCCGGAATGTGTATTAGCGTACTACTCGACTAATTGAGCATGTACATTGCCAGCTTGTTTAATTACGTGTGATATTTTTCAGCGCCAGTCACAATGGATACCGTCGCGCAGAAAGAATGCCGCCCCCCGGACATTATTTGCTTGAGGATTCTTGTTTCTTCCCATGATTTATATAGAATAGGCGTTATCCTCGAGACTCGCGCGGGGAGTTGTCATCTCAAATTCATGTATAATTAATGAGCGGTAAACAAACAAGCTGCTCCATTTAGTGTTCGGAGTACTCCGGATTTTTAGAACACAAATGGAATGGAACAGAGGAGAGTCGCATGGCTGTTCTGAACTGTTCTGACTACCCCAATTTACGAATAGGGGCAGCCAGAACAGACACGTGACACTGCCTATTTTCACGTGATTGGAAATGGAGGCGACATATTTTGTGTATCCAATGCACACTGTATAGAGCGTTATTTTGAAGGGTTAACCGCTATATTTCGACATATACTTATTATATGTTATTTGAACGTCAGGGTTGAGCAAAATCAACGAGTAAAAACGTTGCAAAAGCATACGTACATGTACAAATAACAGCGAATCATTTTACGCTTTATTACGCGAATAACTAATTAATGTGGTAATGCATGGTTGCACGCATATATAATAAAGTCAACACTGTACTGTTCCAGAACACCGTGTGCACTCCATATTCGATCTTTCCAAAACAGTGTTCCAAATGTTCTAGAACAGTAAATGGGGTAGCCTGAAAGGGAATCACAACTGTGACGGCAGCTGAATATGTGATCTCATTTAGCATAGAATTTCCTATACATGCAGGGTGTCCCGAAAAAAGGATACTTTTTGAAATTTTCCTATTGTAATAGTTTGAGTGCCTGAGCGTTATGCCAAACCCATGGAAGCGTAAAATACAGGGTTTTTATGTTTATGTTTTATTAAAATTATTTAAACACGGTAGCCATTCAGCATTCGCTGGTTTTCAATGGACCGTGGACACAATAAAAATTTACAATAATAATTATGAAGCCTAACTACTCATCGGCTTCACACTGTCATTAATACAACAAGGTATACTAATTATCTTTGCTAGTACAATAATACTTAATTAATTATTATTATTACAGCCTATAAAGTTGTTACCATAGTGATTGATGAGCAATATCTTTAATACGTTCGCTGTTTTATTACCGATGTTTTGCGTTAAAGTTAAGGGAAGGTTGTTCCACAATTTTGCCGCTCTATAGGAAAAGCTTTTTTTGAGAAAATTTGTGCTAGGTGTATTGAAAAACGAGACCTTGCTGAATATGAAATAACTCTATTCTTGTTAAGTACACGATTTTCTACTCCTGAAATTTAAAAGAGCTTCTATATTATTGTAAAAGGAGAGTGACTCCACAAAAATGGTCAAATTGCTAATCGGTCACACCATTTGCTCGAGCAAAAATGGTTCAACTGACCACAGAGCAAAGAGTTTTTATTGTGTTAAATTATACGCTCAAAATACATATTAAGTCAACGTACGTGCTCAAAATTCGATTGAATTGTGGGTTCAGCATACAGGGTGAGTAAAAAAACTGATATACCTTTGATATTCAGATTAGCAGCATAGGTGTCAGGTTTTTTTTACTCACCCTGTAGTAATTAGGCTTTCAAAGCCCAACAAAGGCTTGATTTGAAAATGTATACTTTTTTCAGGACACCATGTGCAGGGTGTATAAAAAAAACGCAACCTCGGAATTTCCTAAGAAATCCACTTTGCAATTGGCTTGTAAGAATAAAAGAGTATAGGCCCCTGGGAATTGAAATCGAATTGCTAATAGATCATATTAGCCTACATCTGACAAGGCCCTTGATAATTTAACTGTTGTTGTACAGGGTGTATCAAAAAAAGCGCAACCTCGGAATTTCTCAAGACATCGACATTGTTTTAAAGACAAAAGATTTTAGGCGCCTGGGAATTTAAAATAGCATAACTGTCAAAATTACTGCACACGCGAGTGCATAAAGAAAAATTTATGCATTTATTTAATGCACAACAACAGTAATATGATCTATTAGCAATTCGATTTCAATTCCCAGGGGCCTAAAATCTTTTATGCTTAAGAATTGCAAAGTGATTTCTTAGGAAATTCCGAGGTTGCGTTTTTTTTGATACACCCTGTACTATACTTGTAAAATTAAAACTTATGAAGTGTCATCAAATAAATGCATAAATTTTGCTTTATGCAATCAAGTGTGCAGTAATTTTGACAGTTAAATTCTCAGGCACCTAAAATCATTTGTCCTTAAAACAATGTCGATTTCTTGGGAAACCCGTATCAAATCCAACTCTGCTTCGCTAATTGCGCGGACTGGATATCCGGTAAATTAAGTCCTCTTAGTTGGATTTGATATATTACTGTAAAAATCTTGAAATCTGCCGCGGAAAGATTTTCTTCAGTTTTTATCCACAGAGAAACGGCAGTTTTTTTCTCAATTCAAATTGTACAGGATGTCCCCAAAAAAGTGACACTAAAGAATTTGTCCTATTGTTATAATTTGGATGCCTGAGCACAATGCTGAACACATGCAAGAGTGCGTAAACACAATTGAATTGAATTTTTAATTATATGGCGCACGAAATCCTGCGTCTTAACAACAATAACATATTAACATTATTTCTATAGTGTCACTTTTTTGGGATGCCCTGTACATATGTCATATTATGTTGCTTTTTTTTTCTGAAATCAAACAGTACATATGTTGCTAATCAATTTTTAACTGATCTTTTAGTGTGTTTTCACGAATTTTACGTTCGGCATTGCCTTTTGTTATGCTCAAAATTTTAGACAACAGTGTCGCGGATTAAAATTATATTTTAACATTTTATTATTGAACTGTCACCGACACTTATGTAAGTCTCCAACAAACTTATTTATTATATATCAATAGTCATGCAAAGTCGCATTTTTCTAGTGTTTTATTGGTTGAGAGCATATCACGTGAGAGTGACGAAATTAGGCTGTCTCCCTCGCAACAGCGCGAGATGCACGTGAAGATGCGACCTTTGGACAGGGCGCTATAAAATGTTTTATAATATGTTTTATAGCGCCCTGCTTTGGACATGCCTAGTACGTAATTAAAACTTTCGCTTTATTAAGTAACTGCAGTGTAGCCAGTGTTTAATATGACGTTTTAACAATAAAATACTTCATGTATTTACGTTCATTTGTTCTTTAATTTGTTGTTTCTTTGACTATTGATATATAACAAGACGCCTGCTCAGGCGTTCACACTGACCTGAAAATGACGACATACGTGTTATGATGCAGTATACAAGAATCAAGTCGTAAACAGCAAGCAAATTGCATGGATTTTTTAAAAAAATAAAAGACCTTTTCGGGAGACCTATGGTGCAAATCTATAACTAGGAGTATTATCGCAAGGAAAGTGCTGCCTTTTTGCCACATGACTTGAATGCAAAAGTTTGTATTTCTAAACAATTCTCTAAAGGGAAGTTTACTTTTGACCCAATGGCATCATTTCCACGTTTCATCATTGGTAGAATGGCAGGCCTGCACATGAAGGTTATATCCCCTATGTTTCGTGCATAAATTTGTTTCTCGTTCATCATTTAAGCATTTTGCCAAGTGGATATTAAGGTCTACTAATCTATTAGCTGGCAACACACACTACTTTCAGTAATAACTCTGACGAACGCCAGACAAATTTACACCGTGTACCGCCAGACGATTTTACTTGTCAGTGGTAGAGTACTGTCAGTAAATAGTTTAACAAACACATCTGTCAATGTCTTTTAAACCATTAGCTGGCAATGCACCATACTTTAGTATTTACTCTCTATCTACTTGTAATATTTACGACATGAGCCGAAGGCGAGAGTTTGTATATCTGACACAACACGGGTACGGACGCGAATGTTGTAAACAACTTAAAAAACGGCTCATCTTATGAGTTCATTGGCGAAGTAATTTTAAAAATAAACGTTGTCTAACGTACTAGCCGAGAAAATCAAAGTTAAAGTTTATGTAAATCAACATGAATCTGTATCACATATACAGATACGACACGCTTATGATTTTTCTTTGTGTTTTCTTCATGAATTATTAATTAGTTTTTTAATAGTATTTACTGTATAGACAATTGCACTGCCAGCAAAGTACTGCCTGTATTAAAATGGGCTAATTTCGCGTCACGCCCCAATTCAAAATTTTACATTTTTACGATTTTTGTTGTTTCTAATTATAAATATCTCAGCGAGCATCCCCCCTTCCCTTTGTAATCCTGCGGGGGCGTCAAATGCCGTCAAAACATGACACAAACCAAAACAATTTTTTAAAATATCGGGTTTTCGCACGCACACGCCACGTTGATGCTTGACCACATTTTATAGCCCGATCGATAGTGTGAAACAGTGTAGAAATAGTGTTTTGGATTCTGGTTCCAATAATACTATTACGAAAAAGATGTGTCCAAATGGCCGAAGTTTATATGTTCGGCGAAATGTATGGCTAGTTGGCATTTACATTGTTCCTTATATTAATAATAATAATTTATTCATAGCTTTCTTGTATTGAAATTCGCGTCGAACTAATGTTATTGTATTATAAAGCAAATGAGAACCATACAATAAATGTTTTAGTCCTTGTTGGTATTTTGAACGCACCGCTTTATCTTTACTGTAGCTAGCGCACAAAGCTCTTCTCGCGGATTATATTTTGCGCAGTACTAAAATTTGCGCACCCAGCGCTACACGAATTATAGTACTGCGCGAATTTTAATACATGTACGTAAGATATAATGTCGACATTTGGCTAAAACTGTCGTAAGGAATTAGGAGATTTGTTCAATTAAAACTACGCTGTGTAGTCAAATTGTCAACCTTAACTTGTCCTTGTTCATATTTCAATATATTGTATAAATTTGCTGGGTTCAAATTTTGGTGTTTTCGAGTCGTTTAATACAAAAAGAAAAACATTAATTCAACACGTAAGAAAGTCCAGAGTGCGACACAAAAATGAACACAAGTACACAACGGATGTTTATGAGTCTACAACGTATATTTATAGTTGTTTATTAAAGTCAAACTGTGTTTATTAAAGTCAAACTGTCAAATCTTTAACTTGTCCTTGTTAATTGTATTCCACTATATTCTATGTTAGGATAGGGAGATAGGGACTCAGGAGGTCTGAAACTGGTAATTGCGCGTGCGTACAAGTGTATGCGCTAATAAAGAAAGATGTATCACAAGCATGGCATGACCCGGCTACTACGTACATAGATACGAGCTTGTTACGATGAAAAGTAAATCGAGCAGTCGAGGAATCGATGGCATTTGAACCGATGGCATTTTGCTTAATTGTTGCACCTTGAGCCTGCGATGCGCTAAGGCAAACTCCATTTCTCGACGAAAAAAACCCCAGAAAAAGGGGGATTTAAGACACTTGACCTTTCAGGTCAGTGTAATAAAACACTTATTTACTGAGACCTCGGGAAAGCAGTGTGTTTTCTGGACCCTCTACCGTCGATGTTTCCCTCGGCACTCGGGAAACATCGACGGTCTCGGGTCCATAAAACACACTGTTTCCCTCGGTCTCAGTAAATAAGTGATAAGTATCAACCTTCTATACATTTTATATACTGGTATTTTCTTCTCGCCCTTACTGGATTTCCACCAGTTTGTCCTACGCTCCGCTTCACTATAACATGCACAAATTAAAGATTATTTACCGCTCCTCATGGAATTAAATTAATTCCACTTTGGAATTTAAGGTTCCCCAAGAAGGATCTTTAATTAACCAGACTATAAGAAAATACAAAAACATGAATATAACTATAAATTTTGGAAATGAATTGTGTACAGACAGTACAGTAACTTTGTTTCTGGGGGTTTGGGTTTGACTTTTTAGTTATTATTAATGCAAAAATTAATTTGAAACATTTTATAGTAAACTCCACCGAATTCGTTGGAGTACAACGCCAAAATGTTCCATGGATGAGCAGCTTGTTCCTTGTGATGATTGTATCAAGGTCATCAATGACGTTTCTGGAGGGCGTGGCCTACTCACTGGCTAGTCTCGCGACGATAACCTACCTCGATAATGAGAGAGTGAGATATGGGTCTTATTACATGTGGAGACATGTTGGAACATCCGTTTTAATTGTCACTTCTGCTATAATTGCTTGGAGAGTAAGAATAAAAATATGCGGCCTCGATGGATACGGCTACTTTGCAAGTTTTCTCATAGCATCATTTTTCTTCTTCTTGTCGTTGCTGTCCCTCCCATTTTTCAAATTCAAATACGAAACTGATCGCACCATTAATTGGATGGAAATTAAAAGTGTTGTGCTTAAAGGTCACTATATTTACATGTATATATTGACATTTCATCTTGGAGCATGTGTTGCGTTTCAGGTTTTCTGGGAATTTTGGTATTTGGACGGACTTCAGGCCAGTCCTTTAGTTATGGGCGCGGCCGCATTGATTCGAAGACCACTTTTGGCGGTATTTTTATTCACCTCGTGTTACGTGATAGAGAGAATTGGTGAATTAAACACTGTATGTATATCGTTTCTACTATTTACAGTGGCGTTCTTTGCTTTATCCTTCACGCGAGTATATTGGTATGTTCTCGCCGTTGATACGCTTCATAGTGCAGGTTATGGACTGGCCAAAAGTGCATTGACGGTGCATTTCTCTAAAGCAGGATCAAAAGCAAGTTCAGGTGTAATACTTGGTAAGTTTTTCAGGAGTTTTTTTTATTTAAGGTGGCTCGATATATTAATTCACGCAAAATCCCTTGTACAAGCTATCGCGAAAACAAAACGTTGGCTGTGCTATATGAACAAATCCCCGTGACCATTCGTGCCCGCGGGAATATGGGCGTCAATCCTGAGCATGAGACAATAATTCGTTTTGCTTGTTTTTGTTTTTTATTATTACACCTGTAAAAAGTATTCAGAAGTTATTTAGAAGTTTTCTATTTTGGATAGGCTAGGGGCCTTCTAGAAACCTAATAGGCGTTTCAATTAAGAACCCTTACATTATTCCATTCTTATATTTAGTCAGTTCGAATTATTATATTGAACAAAGATGAAAGTATATATAACGTGAAACATTAACATGCATATTAACTTAATTATATATATTCGAAGTGGAAGATATTATATATGTATATTTACAGTATAGAAGGACTGATAATATATTTTAAACTATTATACATCAATTATTGAGCTAATGTCTAATGAGTATAATGGAAATTAAGATTTAAGACTAGATAGTTTTATTTTACCATTTTCAAAAGTTCAAATATAGTAAAATATTAAGGCTAAACATTCCATTTTTGTAGTTTCTCGCCTAACTCCAATTAAAACTTGTAGACACAGCACTGCAATCTAACCAAATAAATAACTATAACAACTATAATTAACAACTTTGATGTGCTTTATCACACTTGCACAACCTTGCTTTTTAGCGGATTTCTCACATGGTTAAGAATGGATTTAAGATCATGCACATTGACTATAACTTTAGAAGTGCCTCCAAAACGCTGGAAGTTCCATTTCAGTGCACCAAAATTAAAAAAAAATTCGGGTAGCATACCACCGGATCTTCCTAATTTGGGGTACTAGTGCGTCCCCCCCCCCCCCACACACTTTTTGGGATGGATTGACGCCCTTGTTTTTGAGATAAGTGAGAATGACCACCCACCGAAACATACATGGTGAGCCACGCCCGCGATCATTGATGAACTTTAGACTTCGCTGATGCTTTCGTTTTCCCGGGTGTAAACACTGAGCTGTATAATAACTGGAGAACCTGCTCCTATCTCGAGATCGTCAGTCAAAAAAGTGTCGCCAAAAACATGGCGGATTTTGACGCCATATGACGCCATTTCCATGGCAACTGGTCCGAAAACCTCATGGTAGTTACCACTGACTAGGCTCAATTCTCAGCCCACAGCAGTTTTCACCCCCCCCCCTGTTTTTTTGCAAAAGATTTGGTTTTTGCAGATAAATATTTATAGTTCTCGTTGTTTTAAATCTTTTGTTCAAATTTTGAGTTATATTTACTACCTTTGACCATTTGGTTAAAGATATGGAAGTCGTACGTGTTATTCTCGCCCGCGAAAGCCAAACAAAACCTCGAGAAATGCGGGAAAAGAGTATTAAAGACGGTCGGGTATTATAAGGTAGGAGACGTCTAGTCAATTTTACTTATTCTTTATCTTATTTGACATGAAATTGGTTAAGCCTAACGATGAAATGGGACACTTCATTTGTTAAGAAAACAAGGTTTCAGCTTTCTACAGTCCAAATTTCATATTGTAAGGTGTAAAATTTCCCATTACTTTATCAAGCTGCATTCACAAAATAATATTTAGTTCTAAACAACAGAGATTTGATATTCGAAAATTTGTATGATATATACTGTCTAAACTCACTAAAGTGCAAACTATCTTGTGTAGTAATGTTAAAAAAGTTGACTGCAGAGACCTAAGGTCTCGTTTTATTACTTTTATAAACATACACGTGATGAAACTATGATGTGTAGGGCTTGTGGTTTGTGTTTATTTAATATGCACCGACTTTTGTATAAGCTACTGGGGTACTGGAAGCTGGCTTATCCAGGAAGGTAGTTTCTGTCTACCTATAAAATACTGATTGGAGACACTTTTTGTGTCATTATACACCTGATTATAAACTCCTTAAGCACCAGTGCTCTCCCCTCGACAAGTAAAATTGTCTGGTGTTTATGAATTTATATAAAATAGGGTGCATTAAGGTACAATTCAACTTTTAAAACAGTTTAATGAAAGCATTTCTAAGCAGCATTGTATGTAGACCTTTAATTAAGACAGAATAAACCTGCAGCAGCCTGCAGCAGTGGCTGCAGTATTCTGATGCAGTGTTCAAACCAATTTATACTGATCAGCTGCAGTTGTGGAGCTGTAGTTGCAAATTAAATCATGTAAGTATCGTAACGTGAAGCCTGTAGTAAGGTGTAAGGGTAAATGTCAGGATTTTGGACATCACACTCAACAGAACTTTAAATGTCGAAGGTAGCGTCACTAGACGAATATTTTAAGTGTGAATCAAATTTTATACATATTTAGACCTAACCAACCTAAAAAATATAGTGTCTGTTCCATCTTTTGCAGCTGCTTTAACCAGGTCTAAAAATGTATAAAATTTACACTCAAAAGTTTCATCTACAAAAACCCTTCAACATTTAGTGATGTACATCAGCGTTGCCATGTAAAACCCTTTTCTCACCAAACATACACTTACTGCATGTAATAGTTGGTGGTCAACATAGGAATATTTGCACAAGAATAGACATTAGGCTACCTCTCAATTCTATATTTTTCTCATAGTCTAGACCAAGAAGTGTTCACTTAAATTAAGGGAGAGGTATTGTCAGTGGCAAATTTGAGGAATCTGATGCATTGGTGGAATACTGCATGTAGTCATGAAATTATACTTCAATGCTGCAACCTCAAGGTCTGAAAATTGGAGGTTTTGTACCAACCTCTGCTAATCAGCAGGGATCAAAAGACAATTGCTTAAGTAACACTACTATCATGTTTCGGTCGCTACTCTGGTTTAAATAAATGATTACAAAGCCCAGTCGAATTGTAATCAAGACACAACGTTTCAATTCGATTACAATTCGACTGGGCTTTGTAATCATTTATTTAAACCAGAGTAGCGCGCGAAACATGATTGATATACCTGGTTGCAGTGAACGAGCAAACTTTGTAACACTACTAGTTTTGTAAAGAAAATGAAACACTCTTGATGACATATACTAGATTTGTTGAAATAGTTGAACTGAGGCAATGATAGTAATTCAGGCATTTTGGGGGGAAATTTAAAATATTTTTTTTTAAATGTAATTAAATTTATATTTACCTCATAATTTTCGAAAGCATTAGCGAAGTCTAAAGTTCATCAATCATCGCGGGCGCTGACCAACGAACGACGATCTTGAGTGGGTGGTCATCCTCACTTATCTCAAAAATATGGCAAGCAAGATTTCAATTTTAAAACGGACATATATTTGCAAAAACGTTTCATATACAACAAGCTTGAAGCAATTTTGTTTGAAGAAATGAGAAGAATTGGTTTACTACGGGAAATCGTGAAATATACGGCAAGTTTGCTTTGAATATTTTTAAAATGTTTACGAATTTTGTTGCTTTAACTTTTTACGTAATAAAAAACATGAACTATAGAAGCTCTAAGTTTCATAAATTACCGTTTAATTTGAGAAAAAATCTTAAAATGTAAAGGCGAACAAATTGATTTGAAAACTGAACTGAAATTACCTAACAATTTTATTTTATTTGTATTAAACTTATCATGTTTTGTTAAGTAAAAACAGTTTATCGGCAAAATGTAGGTTTACTTGAATGAACATTTCAAAACATTTTACGAAGTGTTTCAAGTTAAATTTTACATTAAATCAAAGCTCACAAAATGCAAAATAATATACCTACAGTATGTATTTCGGAAATTTATTGTTGTATAGTTAAAAGTACGAATCTTTCAACTATTTTGCAGTTTTGTACAAAATATATGAAAATAAAAATTTAAGAATATCGTGTTGTCATGGCAACACTTGAGCGCGAGCCTGCGTTCAGTGCTGGTCATTTCTGAATACTTCATGTTTAATGTCCATGGCGAGGGGTTACTGCATGCATGTATTTCTAGTTTAAACATATTTTCAGAGGTTAAGTAACTACCGATGATTTGAGCTCTACGTTTGGAAATAGAAATCACAAAATGTTAACGAAACTTTTAATAAATTTTATATATTTAAATAATAAGTACTGTAATTTTAATTAGTATTTATGACAAAAAGTATTTAATATAATCATTGAAAATTGTATTGAATTGAATTACATTAATAAGGGGGCATTCATTATTGATGGGGGGGGGGGGAGATGGGTGAGAAACTGGGGGGACCTGAGATTTTCCCAGATGAAAAGGGGGACTGCAATTCTGGTAAACCAAATCCTGAAGGGACCCTGTCTGACATTGAAGGAAGACACATCTACAAATTTCAAAAATCATGATGAGGGTGAAAACAAAAAGAAATCAGATTCACAAAAACTTCATCTTTGAATTTATTAATGAAGTTATCAAATACATTATTTCTGAAGTTATTCAAAACACTCACAGTACATGTTTCATCAGATCTATTAAAACACTTGGGTATTGCCTCGTGTTATAAATCTGATAAAAGGTTGCTGTTGGTGCTTTGAATATGTTTTAATACAATATAATAACTAACTTTTCTTGCTCTCTCAGTCCTTGCTGTACAATTGTACAAACATGTATACATACTACATTTAGACACACGATGTACATTTAGATTTAATGTAGTGTGAATTAAAAAATTAAATGTGACTGTGTGTAGTACTCTTTATTGGCAATAAAAAAGAGTTGCACAATAATTATACTTGACTACAGTAATTGGTGAGTGACAAATTATTATCATAACTTCAATTTGTTCTTCTCCATTTTGGCATCCTGTGCTATCTTTTCTGGTACCTGTATTAAACAAATAAATCCTGCAAAAAAAGCTAACATTATTTACCACAATCATGTTATTACACATCTTTAGTGATTAACAAAAATATGCATTACATATAATTATGTTAACTCTTTAAGTGGCAATGCACCCTAATGTACTGCACTTTAGGGGAGACTGGAGAGCAATGCCACTCAGTGGGTTAATCAGACAATCTTCTGCACGGTTATTCATGACTATTTTACTCATCAAGGGGAGAGTGCTCATGGCACTCAATGGAAATGAATATAAATCAAACTACCTGCATACCGGTACCCAATGTACCCAACTTTAGTTAATCTTACTCTGTCTAACACCAGATTATTTTAATTGATCTGTCTAATGCCAGACAATTTTACTTGTCAAGGACTCAAGGGGAGAGCACACTGATGCTCCATGGGTTACCATAAGGCAAAAAAGTTTAAAGAACTACGATATCCAACAACATAAAGTGCACGGTCATATGGTGGCAACCTAAATCCTCCCCCCCCCCCACAATAAATGGCCACCACTGCCCTACAACCCCATATATAAACACTGCTACAAAAAGCATGGAAAAAGTAGGACTTGCTTGTCCAAGCTCAGTGAGACTCGCTCAATGTGGGGGAATGCAATGCAGTCTTGTTCACAGGACATGAAGTCTGTGCAGTTTCTGAACTAGCACTTGCTGCTATAAAACCTATTGAGAGATATTGTTAAATTGATCTAGCTCAAAAGAAAGTTTCAGTTATACCATATCTTGTCTCTAAACACATAGGCAAGCAATCATGTTTATCCAACTTTTGCACACTGCTCTGAACACTCCCAGGTCCTGGGTATTTTGTTCCCTCTGTCCCACACGCTCTGTCTTTGTGCTTATCTATATATTAATCCTGATTTACACCATATATAATCTGTACGACCGTGTGAGAGCAAGTGAACAACCACGATTATTATAAATTATTAAAAACTGGCAATAAAAAACACAACACAGCATACCAACCACTTGACACAAAATTTATTCAGTGGAATTATTATTAATGACCTGTCAGATCATTTACCGGTCTTTGTTTATGTCTTTACAGAAACTCCTCCCCCTCGGAAAAGTGCTGAAAAGACCATATTTAGGGACTTTAGCGAAGCAATATTACCAAATTTCGTTCACATCTTACTAATGTCAATTGGGAAAATCTCCCTAATCAAGATGCAGACAGTGCTTTCGAGATAGATAGATAGATAGATAGATAGTTTAATGATCCCAAAATTTACAGCCAAAATTGAGCTGAATTAGATTAGGAATTTACAATAACATCAAAAATACAATTAAAAGATCTAAGTACGACTAAACTATGTACAATTACTATAAAAAAAACTGTTCTGAAGTCTGTTAGTTTTACAGACAGGAACTTGAAATTTACGAGTATTCCTAAGCTTAAAATTACATTTATTTAACTTCGGTAAAAATCGATATAGTTTATGTTCTGAATTATTACTAATTTCCTGAAAAAGGTTAGTTGTTTGAGTCTGTCTACGAATATACACTGTCTCTAATTTAGCGAGTTCTAATGCTTCAAAATATGAAACAAATGGGAAAATAATTCTCATGGCACGCTTCTGTAGGGCTTCAAGTTCATCAGACAAATATTTGGGCAGTGAATTATGGTAGACAGGGCAGGCGTATTCCATGGCGGGCCGAATGCATGTGATGTAAAAGATTACCAGATCCTTATTTGCGACTCTTGCTCTCTTCAATTGTCTGAGGAAGTAGAGTCTTTTGGACACTTTCCGCGATATTTCCGATATATGGTGGTTCCATTTCAGGTCACTCGTAATGTTCAATCCAAGTAGCTTGACACATGAAACTTGCTCGATAGCTTTTCCGTTAACGATGATTGGGTTGAAATCTGCAGGCGACTTTGCAAACGATATTCGCATTTCTTTACACTTTTTTTCATTTAATTGGAATTTATTCTCACCCGATTTTGTTATAAGCTCATTAACATCGTCTTGGATTCTACTTGCCTGGTTCTTTGCAACATTTTCCGCGATTGTAGTATCATCTACATATTTCCATAGATCTGTGTTGGTGACATCGATATCATCGACCATTAAGGCGAAAAGCCACGGGCCCAGCTTGGTCCCTTGGGGTACCCCTGCTGGTATATCACCCCATTCAGATTTACAGTCCTGACCAAGTTTAACCCTTTGCTTGCGATTCTTAAGATAGTCTAATATCCAGCTCAAGATAGAATGCGGTAAGTTGAGGGTGGACAACTTAGAAGCCAGGATACTGTGGTCTATCAGGTCGAATGCTTTCTTATAGTCGAAAAGTACGACCCGCACTGCTGATCCAGACCCGTCAGTATGTTTGGTCCAAGTATGCACCATGCTGAGTAAAGCTTGTGTAGTGGAAGATTTCGGTATACATCCGAATTGGTTATCGTTGATCTTCTTTATTACAGCCGGTCGCACATGCTCCTCTACAACAAACTCTTCGGCTACTTTGGATAGAACCGGTGTTAACGATATTGGGCGTAAATCTTTGTTAATATCCCGGACTTGTTTCTGTTTAGGAATAGGAACAATATCGGCACTTTTCCATGATGGAGGGAGACGCCCTTCGCTAAAGGAAGAGTTGATAATGCTTGTTATAGGAGCCAATAATAAATCGGCATTCTCCTTAAGCAGCCAAGCTGGTATGCCATCTGGTCCGGTGGCTTTCTTTGGATTGAGGGAGGAGAGCTTTAAATAAACCCTGTCAGCGGTGACCATGTATGGAACTGCTGATGGTTCTGCAGATGGGTCATTATGCTGGGGATCATAATCATTAGGCAAGGGTTCAAAGATACGCATTGGAGATAAAAAGGCTTCGTTAATTGTTTTCGCCAAAACTTCGTCTTCGGGGGTCCCATCAGAACACTGAAGATGATTTGCAAGGTCACTTATGCTAGAGGACATGGAAGATAGGCCACTTAGTTTCTTGACTTCACTCCACCATGAGGATGGATTACAATCTTTCAAATGTGCCACTTTAGTGTCATAATATTTCGCTCTACAGGTCTTGCGTTCACGGTTCACTCGATTTCTGAGAAGACGGAACAATGGAAGGTTACCTTGCATGAGAGCCCTCTGGCGACGTCGAATGA